CTGGCAAAGGTGGTGCTACGTGCAAGTTGGCAAACTGCCCCTGGAGCAGCCGGGCAGCCCGACTGAGGGCTACAGAAAGGCTGGGAGCTCAACGGAGCCGTGGTCGGACGCTGACCTGGCCAGCGAGTGGCTGGCAAGGGCCGCAGAGACTGATCCCTCCCCTGAAAGTTTGATTCAGTTACCTGTAAAGAGGACATTAACACTATTTATAGCTATGCACTAGAGCATGAGGATATTTATTTATAAGCAGCCCGTGTTATTTTAACCCTTGCCTCCTGGAGTCAGTTCCTCTCCTCAGTGCTGGCGCCGTAGCGTTGATGCCAATGTGAAAGCAGACGACATTCTTCCCAAAACAGGCTCTGGAGCCCGTGAATCCTCATGTAGATGTCCAAGAAAAGCTTTAACACAAGTTTCCTGATCCATTTGCTCCTCTGGCTCAGCGCCACTGGTGTCCACCTCAGCAGCTCCTGGTCCCCCCAGCCCTCTCCCTTCACCACTCCCTCTCCCACGCTCAGTGCAATGGCAGATGTACTTGTTTCTGAGGAAAGTCACCTTTTTCAGAAAGATGTTTAAGGTCACATAAAGAAACTGTAAAAAGCGGTTCCTGAGAGCAGCGCTTTCCCACAGAAAGGCATCTGCAGCAGTCGGGGGAGGAAGGGAGAAGACTACTAAGTCCACCTGAAGCTGGGGAGGGTTCGCATAGACAAGATGGATTTATGCAGGAATTTGGCCTTCTAGGGACAGAGTGACAGGAACTTTCTAAATCATTTGCTCACAATGCCAGTTTCTCTCTCATCTCACAGAAGCCAGTGGGACAGGTTCACAAAAGTGAAAACGACTCTCAACTGTCATCCCTCAGAGAGCTGAACTTCAGTGTAGTCCTTATTGCTGGGATGAAGACCTCACCTCACACAAAATCTTATGGAAAAGTATGCTGGAAGCATTTGGTAGTGACAAAATGCAGGAGTACCTTTCTGGCAACCAGGGATCTGTTCATACCTTTTTTTCAATGAGCCCCACAATTTCTGTAGGCTTTTCTCCTCTAACCTCATCACCACACCAGCAAATGGCTCCCCATGCAGAGTATCATCTTTGCCCACAAAGTGCTGAGCCAAGGTGGGGAAATCCCAGGAGCTCTTGTGGGCCTTGGGAAAAGACGCAGCAACTCGCAGGGACACCAGGATCTACCAGCCCTGAAGGAGTGAATTTTACATTTTCAACAGTTGTGATGATTGGTTAACTAATCACTGTGATGCAGATATACTGGATTTTGACCTTACTGTTGTTAGTCCTTTTATACTATTTTTTCTGTGTCAGCTTGTTCAAAATGCAATAATAAATACAAGTTTCCTGAGCTAGTTCTTTAAATAACTTTTCCCAGTTGTGTCTGTTCTCTCTACTATCGTTAGGTTTTTTGGCTATTCATATCTTGGCTGTTCTGGGAAAAAATGTTTAATGCAAGAGCATAGCTGTCTCCTGCTCCCTCAGCTGTTCTCTCCTCCTGACTTGCGGGAAGAAGCGCTGCAAGGTCTTTTTGAAGAAAACGTGCTTTGCCAGCAGTGACCAGAGTCAGGATCATTCAGCAGTGTTTCAAGGGCCTCGTTCTGCTGTCATCTAACAGGGACTCTCCTGCAGCTGAGGAAACGCAAATCTCAGCACTGAAGGATAGTTAAAGGAAAAGGGAAAGGTCAAAGTTACCTAGTTAAAGGAAAAGGGAAAGGTCAAAGGAAAAGAAATGGGGACTATATGCCTGTGCTAAGAAATACTGCAAAGTCTTCCTACTGACACCCTCTTTGCAGTGCTCAGATGCAACAGTGACTTCCTCCCTTGTGTCAGGAGGCAGGAAAAAAACAAATAAAGGATGGTGCTGTTGGTGCAGGCCTTCGACCTGCCCCTGAGAGGTTCCCTGGTGCAAGACCCTGCAGGCTGATGTGGTGTCTCAGCTTTCACCACTCCGACCAGGCGGCTGGCACAGACCTAGGTTCTGACTCCTTCATCCTTCGCTCTTCTCACCACTGGGACAGCCTGGAAGGTATGGATTTGTCTGAGATGTGTCCTTGCAGTTAAGTGTTCCCCTGGTACTTTTTCCCATTCATTCTGAAATGTCTTCCAACAGTGCTGACAAGCTGACGTTTCTGGAGGCATCGTATTTCAATAGCTCTAAGCTTAACAAATGAGTAAGGCATGAGCCATATGTTCAGAACAGATTTAGGTAAATTTGGAGAAAACCTGTCCCTCTGGGAATGTCCCTTTCCTTACCGTAACCACTACCATGTGCCTAAAGTTAGACTGAATTCCTCTGAGTCTTGAAGCTGACTGTATCCTTCAGGGTAACAGCTGCATCTTCAGGAAACACAGCTCAGGTGGTGAGGACTGTGCATAATGCACTGTTAGCTGTGCATGGCTGTTATTCCTGGTGCTTCACCAGGCTGTGTTGACTCCAGCTGTAATTCAGCTACAGGTTGCCTCAGCGGTGCCCTGTCTCTGGCTCTTGTCCTAACCTACATACCTCTCCACAGGCCAAGAGGTCCCTGCGCAGCAGCAGAGGTGACACAGGGAAGGATCTGCAGACCAGCTGGTGAGGCCAACCCATCTACCATGCATGAATTACCAGCATCTAGCTTCGCTGAGTCTGGGGTGGCAAAGGTGAGAAAAGTAAAACCCGGATCAAGATCATCAAGAATTTCTCAGACACATCACTGACAGCTACTGAGAATCAGCCAAAAACTTTGGACTGGTGATTTACTAACAACTGTCAAAAGCAACCTGATGAACCCTTTGAAGGATGAGAGGACCCCCGTCTCCATCTAGTTCAGTTTATATTGATTCCCCTTCATCATCTAGGGGAGCTGCAGTTGAGTTTGCTGGCATTCCAGCACGATGCTAGTTACATATTGTTCTCTGATGGAGAGAAGAAAGGAAATGGGTGAGTATTATGAGCTGGAGCATGCAAGTCTCAGTTTACATACCATCCTTTCTTGCTTGTTTATTCAGCTAAGTTAATTGGTGGTGGCAAATGCCTGATGATCAGGATGGTCAGGGGATGACGGCAGCCTGGGAATATTTAATAGACAATAGAGCTGACACCAATTAACTTATCTCCAAATCTTTGCTTGTGTACTAACTTCTAGAGGAAGACCAGAGAAGTAAAGTGAAATGGCAGATTAAGCCTTTAATACAAAATACTCAAAGCCGTGAAGTGGTGCCGGTGAAGTGAAAGTACATGCATGCGTAAAATATGCATGTTACCATGCATGTCCCTGTCAACCATTCTGCACGTAAGACTGCAGGCACCTGTGGATATGTCCATAGCATGATCCTTTGAGACGATGGGCCATGCTATTGGAATTTCTTTTGGAAAACAAAAGGAGGGGATATCCTTAAAGTATTTTAGTGTGGATTTATATTGTTCGTGATCAGGAGCGTTTGCAGCATTCCCCACGTTTTATGTATAAGTCCTGCTCATGATTTATCACCGTGCTTTACAAGCCCTACATCTTAAAGGTGCACAAGCTGTTTTTTCCTCGTTTGTGTTACTTAGCTACTGATTATGCTGGAGATTGAATTTATCTTAAAATCTATTCCAAGACATAACACAACATTTTGGGTTTTGTCGTTGTTGTTGTTTTCTCCACTAATATAGAAGCCATTGCTTACACGGTAATTCTGTCCAATTTTGACATCCACATTTCTGAAAAGATGCTGAAAACCTGAAGAGAGTGCAGATAAGACCTGTATAAATGATTCCAGGGTTGGAAAAAGAGAGGCTTCAGGAGTTTGATTTGCTTAGCTTAGCGAAGAAACATTTGATGAGACTCCTTTAAGCAGTGAGAACACTGAGTCCTAGAGGCCCTTTTGAGCTCGAGGAGAAAGTCACAGGCAAAACTAGTGGGTGGAAATTTAAGAAGAAAATTCAAGTAAGGAGCAAGTTACCTTTTTTAAACAGTGGGGGTGGCAACTTTTGGACAACCTACCAAAGAAAGTGATAGCTTATGCAAATCAAGCAGATAGCTTTTCAGCAAGTTTAGTTTTGTCCAGGAAAGTTAGAAGAGCATGTGGATGGCACACAATGACCTGCAGTGTAGAACAGTCTAGAGGAAATGGCCTTTCCTTGCTTCAGCCTGTATGATTAAAAAGTGCTTATTCTGCAGGTGTGAAAATGAGTTCAGACCTACCACCCTGACATCTTCTTGTTCTCACTGCAAAGCCCTAGGAAAATTCACCCGGTAGCACCTCTGACGCACTGAAAATCATCAGGCTTTGCACCAGAAATGAAGGCAAATAATTTAGTAAAGGTCGAATACTAATCTCTGAATGCCACAGGCAGCCTTATGCCTGCTCATCTTATTATAAGAAATTAATAAAACCATTACCTCACCAAACCTACTCTGGACAGATGGTTATCTTGCTAAATAGATGACTTGACACTAGATCAGCTTCATGCTGAGGCAGGAGTCCAGAACACTTTTGATTTGTCTTCTGGAAGCCACTGCAACCACTTTGTCTCCCTTCTAGGAACAGTAGGTCTTTCCTATTCAGACACATAATGATGGAGGAGATTATCTAACAGAAGTTGGCCACTTGGCTCCTGAATAACATGGACGTTAGCTACTTCTGCAGCAAAAATCAGAAGTTACCACAGTGAATCACTGATTTAGGACCACCAAGAGGAGATGCTCTTTGTTTTTATAGTACTTTAGTAATCACAGGCAAATACAGTTGCAACTCTTTTCTGATACTGCTCCTTAGAATTATTATTTTAGCCTACATAATTCCTATCCAACTCCTGATTTTTTGGCAATGCAAAGCAGTAGCTAGGCCAGGAGTTAATGATTATGAGATAAGCATTTATCTCACTTGGTGCCATGTCGGCTTGTTCTACTTTCAAATATTATTTGCTCTTATGCATGCTGTTCTTCTGCCAAAGCTGAAGACAAATTACTATTCTTTTTCCAAGAGAGAAAGAACTGTGACTTGATTCCAATTAACAATGTGGATTTTAAGTATAATCTTTGTATTGCTCCCTTATTTTACGCCCATTTATCGCTTTTGCTTACTTGTCATTTGTTACTCTGTACCCTTCCAACTCTCTTCTCATATCTGAAGATATACTTGCTGTAGAGATGTCTTGAGAAAAAAGTGCATTTTCAGGCTCTTGTCTGAAAAGACAGGGGTCCCAGAGGTTATATTGATTTTCTAGCATACTTGTGCACATTCAAGAACTGTCCCACTTAAAACATTCACTAAGTAGCTTTCTCGTGCACTGTGCCCGGCATTCCCTTTGAGTTTGTCCTTACCTTTCATTTTTTGTTCTGCATGATGGAGCCTCAGGTTACTGTCAGGCAGCCAGAGCTGTTTACTGCTTCCTGAGTGCTGCTATTTGCTGTGCAATTGAAGATGGCAAGAGTGTGAAGGACCAAAAAAGAACAACAGCCTGTGTTCATTTTATTATTTTTCTAGGGATGGTTTCTTGATCTCTTTGCTTCCCACTGTAAGTGGATTGATTCAGAGATCAAAATGGAAGGTATTTTCCTCCATGAAACATATTCCAGTTTACAAGAATTTTTCTCTCTGAAAAATTTGGCCACAGAGATATTGCCACTGTCATATATAAGGCACATATGAGAAGAAGCAATGAGCAGACAGCTATATCCCACCTGTGTTTATTATTTGATATCTAACTGAAAACTGGAATATGAGTAAAACGCAAATGTTGAAACAACTGAATTACTCAATCCTTTAATATACTGAATATTCAGTAAGAAACGTAAAACATACCCTCACTCTATGAAAATATTAACCGGTACATTCAAGAAGAAAAATAAGCTGAGCTGAGCATCTTAATTTCTGGCTTTGCCAGCCACTGCCTTCCAGACCCAAGGTCTGCCTCTGTGTGGTTCCATGAAGAGAGGGATATTACTCCATACCTTTTATTTTTGTGTTCCTTCTTTGATCTACTGTTAGTATGATTTTAATTCCTGGGTTCCAGGCTGCTCTTGTTTTTTCCACTGATCCAATGAAGAGATTTCTAAAATTAGAAGACACATTTCTTTATAAGTAATAATAACCTTTGGTTGATTAGTTCTCCATTTTAACATATTTTACAGACATTAACTGATTAATCTAACTGGTACTCCTGTGAATCTCATTTTTTATTTGTCCCTCAGTACTTAGCATTTTCTGCAGACTAAACTGAACGGTAGTTAATGCTTTCAGTTTTTTAATAGGAAATGATTGTCATCCAGACTGATTCACCCTACCAGCCCCAAACAAATATTGGCTACAAATTTTGTCATGTGTTTGCTCTTCAGTCGTGAGATAACATGAGACGAAAGGTAAGTCTGCTAGTGACTTACTTCATCATGCATTTATCAAACTGCAGTACCTACGAATACATACAAAGCTACAGATTTAAGTTAACTGGTTTGATTCATAAAAAGGCATTCTTTGAAAAATTAAGTAGCTGTTTAACTTCTCACATGAATCTATGAATCCATGTTTATCTCTTTCCAAAACTGGACTATAAATAGGATGTGATCTGAGTTTTGTAGCAAGAAGGATTCAGAATGAAAAATAAGTAGTAACATTTCTAGCAATGAATGCCAAATGTTCAGAAACCGCAGCAGATAAGACCATTTTACCAAGAAAGGTTATCTGCTAAATGATAAGCCCTAAAAATCATTTTTTCCTTTTCTAATTTTCTCTGGAAAAATAGCAATAGGGCCAAGGAAATAATCTAAAGTTCATTGCACATTTGATATAAAATCTGCTTTAGCCTGTTTTCTGCCTTGAGGTGTATAATCAGGACTAAAAAATACACCATAAAATCTCAGCAAGAATATCAGAAATGATCACATCTCACTGCTATTTATATCTGCTTTTTCAGTTCCTCTTGTTCATATTGCTGTAGTGATGTCTAAAATAGGAAAATCAGTTGGATAGAAATGTTACAGCTTATTCCCACTCCTTAGGAATGAATAAAACCTTCTGAGCAGTCAGAATCCTGCCAGCAGTACCTGGAGTCATGCAAGTGTACGCTGCCCTCCTTATTTATAAATAAACTTTGGGATGAGTCAAGATATTGAAGGCTTCCTTAAATCCCAGCAAAGGCATAGCTCTGAGGGTGGCAAAAGGAAAAATTGCCTGTGATGACAAAGTACATTTCACAAATCTTGGGTAATGCCTTCAGCACAGAGCATGTCTGTGTCTGCGCACCTAGGCACTCCTCTCTCAGCAGCAGTGCATGAGCACATTGTGGATGCATACTTTGCAGTGATGTCTATTAACTGCTAGTCTGCAAAAAAAAAGTTTGAACTAAGAGAGCAGGATCCAACCCACCTAACCTACTGGCCCGTCCTATTCCAGATGCCTGACAAGACAGGCGTCTGAAAGTGAATACCCGTGCTCTGTAGAGCAAGCAGAATAAGGCTTTTGCAGGCCCCCAGACGCATCCTGCCTGCGTAAGTGTACGCCACTACCTCTGCCCACATCATGGATGGAGCACATAGACACTTTAGCAAGACTGCTTCACCAGGGGCCTAAAACTTAAGTGCAAGTTAGGTGCCAAAGTCAGACACCTAGGTTAGGTCAGCCGGTACTGAGCCCAAGAAATTAGTGATCGATTATGTCCATCCTTCCAAGTGAGTGCAGTTCACCAAGGCCTGTCAAACTCATCAGCTGCCTCTGTGCTAGGCAGCTGTGGCAGCACACCTTGCTTACAAACACTGAGCTCACTGGATTTTCCAAACACGGCTGAATGCAGAAGAGCACAGCCCCTTCACGTGAGGGCCAGCTTCTCTAAAGGCACCAGGGAGCTTTCGGGGGTTCAGGGCCCATTAAAGATTGTCTGCCAAGGACTAAAGGAGCAGGGAGTCACCTCAAATATGTTAATTCCAGCCATCTAAGCCTTGTAGGAGGGCGTATTCATGTACCAGTGACAATATACCAAAGGCACGCACAGTATCATGTTCCGTTTCAAACTGGCTCTAACGTTTCTCCAATACATATACAGGCTAAGGAGCTTTCTAGGTAGACGCTGTTGCCATTCTTCTTTTTTAAAATGTGTCTTGTAATGTCATTTGATCCTTGCAGTTCCTGTAGGGGCAACCGACGCTGCTCCAGGCAGAAGGCTCTGCTACGTCTGCCAGTGACTCAAAAGCTGGCACAGCCGCGACAGCCAGTGACGTCACCCATCCACCGGGAGGTAGCAGGATGCCAGCTGGTGGAGTTCGGCATTTTCTCTCTGAAAGCTCACCATTTCTGTGCAGCGCTTCTCTGCAATAGCTGCAGCCCTAGAGAGGAGAAGGGTGACAGTGCTGAGAGCACAGGACAAAGCGTGTGTCAATCATGGCTGCATTTCAGGCAGCCCTGAATCACTGTGGGACTCAGCTCTGAGCGCAGCATCGCTTCCACATGCCTGAAGCTGCGCAGGATGCACAGGAGGACATAGGAGTTTGGCTCACACTGTTAGTGGGGCCATCTGTTAATAGACCTCCTACTTTCATGAAATGTGCAGGAACCTCCCCCTTGACCTCTCGCAAATTTGATTTAAACTGACAAACTAGTTCAGAAGTCACCAGAGTGACAGACAGAGGCTGAGACTGCGTAAGCTCCGTCTCCCCAGGAAAGCAGGGTAAACAATGGGGGAGTGAGACAAAGCAAGTGGGGGGACTAAGGCTTTCCCAGGACATTATAGATCAAATACTTGTTAAGAGTCTAGCGACAAGCCAGCTAAGCAACATGGGTGAACATTAGTCATCTGGCAGTAAATGGATTCTGACTTCTATAATGCAGAAAAAAGGTGATCAAGAAGCCCCGAAAATCTAAAATGAGCTCTAAAAAAATCACATCTGAAAACAACGCAGACAAAAAATGGAGAAAACAATACCAGGCTACAAGGAAGAAAAAAAAAAAGGTACACATATTTCTGCTTCTAAAATAGACCTGGGCTGCTTCTGAAGTTTCTTGCCATTTCTTAGACTCAGAAATGAACTGAAGGAAAAATATGCAAACTCGGAAAGAACATACATTTTTTAAAATGTTTGTCTGTTTTCTGGAACATGAGAGAACCGAATAGCTCAGTACTGTGTGTTAACCAAAAAAGGAAATGGCAAATGAACCAAAGGTATTTTTGGTGGGAACTAAACAAGTAAACGACAATAACAGCAAAGACCTGTAATACTGAAAATAGTTTATTGTGTTTTACCTTCCCACCTCAGTCATGAAAGCAGTTCTGTCTTCTAACTGTTTCGTTAGTTCTACCTGCCGTGAAGTAGGTGATAGATCAAACTGTAACCATCCATCATACCATCATCTGGGAAGGATTATTAACACTGTACTCTGCAGAAAAACAAAGGTGAAAGAAATACTGAAAAGCAGTGCTTAGGTTTACAAAATAAGCATAATTATTTTGTACACTCCTTCTCAGCACTCAGATATTTTCCTTTCAAGCTGAATAGCTTCCCTAAGCACTGTGCAAGCCGTAATCCTGCTTGTCTACTGGCTTAGCAAGAAAGCCTCTCCCCTCTGCCCTTCCTTTCCTGCGCTCATTCCCGTATGTGGCTAAAGTTGCCAGGAATGGCTTATAGTTAATACAGAACATCATGAACTTCTTTTTCCGTGTAGCATGGAGTGGAGACATGTTTCCCCCGGCCAGCTCGCAGCTTCATTTCACAAGCAATTTTGGGTTTGAAACTCTATTACTGACGCAGAAGAAATGTCATGCTTCTATCCCACTCCGGCACTGGTTCTGAGACAGCTCTTTTCGGTACCAACATCCTCTGCTTAACACATCCTCCCACCTTCTTCTGTTTCTCTTCCAGACAATATGAAAATCTGCAATCAAAATTGTGCAAAGTCCCAAGAGTGCAGTGGTTCACCTTGGCATAGGGACCCTACTCTGTGCACAGATAATACACTCTGCATTAGGAGTCTGAATATGTCTTTCAGGAAAACGTTTCAGCATTAATTTTCTTTTTCTTTTCTTTCTTTAGAAGAAATCATCTGTTTTAGAGGTACCATCCCCCGAGGTTTTCTTCAGACTCCTCATTTCTATGTCTGGTGTGCATCGTTACTTGAGGTAATGAGATTAAAATCTGTTCAGTTTTTGAGGCAATACCACATCTGACTTCTCTGAAAAGAGAAGACTCAAAGTTTGACATCTTCCAGGGATTAGGCCAACTGCTAACTGCAGCAGTACCGTGGGGGGAAAAACGAGCAGAGACAAGGTACTAAAAACATAAATAAAAAAAATAACTAACTAAAAGAGAGGCAATAGAGGAGAGGACTTGTGCTTAGTGATGTGACAAATACGTGTGCGAGGTGAACACGGGTAGCGGTGTGAAACGAACCTAGGCCAGATGGGGACACCCAGCCAGTTAAGTAGACTAGCACTTTTCTAAAGAAAGTGGAAGAAACCAGCAAGGCAGTGATATACAGGCTGGAGCTAAGACATGGGGATTTGTTAGGACTGGCACTGGTCCTAGCCATCTGGCTTGTGTAACCCAAGTCTGCTGTGGCTGGGCAACTAGATCTGGGTTGTTTTCAAGCTAAGCATCCAAAAATCATTTTTCAGAAGCAGTTGGGGATCTCCAGGGCTTTTTCTAAGAGGCTGAAGCTCATGCAAGTCGGAGCCCTAGCTGGTCATGAAGTCCAAGCTGAACGTATTTAAGTAAAAGCTTCAAGTTATCTGCATGCAGGGCCTATATCCCATTGCCCCTGTTTAAGCAGAAGGCAGTTCCCTGTCCTCCCAGCCAAAGGTGAAGAAGAGAGAGGGTCATCAACCCAGCAGATGGGAAGGAAGTGGTTTGGATGTGGGAGAGCTGGGATTCGAGCAGGCCAAGAGAGTATGCGCACAACAGGCTGTAGAAAGAGTACTCAAAGTGGAAGAGCTGGGAAACTAAGGGAAGGAAACTGTACAGTTGTCACGGTGTGCAGATAACACAGGCCAGAGAGAAGTAAGACCGAATATCAGAAGCAGTACCTGTCCTCTCTTCCCTGCCCACTGATATACTGCTTCTCAGACCTCAGCCGGGGATGGAGCCCAGGCTGGGAAGTCAGTAGAGATTGCTCCTCCCCAACTGGAGAGGATTTCCAAACCTAGACAAGGCAAGGGAGCAGATGGCTGAAGTGCCTGCCAAGACGAGCAGCAGCCGGGAGGCTCCCCAGAGAGGAAGCCATAGCAGTGGGGAGCTCCAGTGGGTTTTAATAGGGTGTCCAGGGACTAGCTGTAATTTCATAAATGGTCTGGAAAAAGTGACTCACCACTGCTCTGTAGCACCCTAAACTAGGCTCTTCTCATTTCAGTTCCATTGCTTTCAATATTACAAGTGTTTCCACATGATATCAGATCTTTACAAATGCATGAGAGAAAGAGAAAGGGCTGAGCCAACTTCTCACCCACCAGACATCAGATTTCCAGCAAAACTTTTCTATTTCCAAAATTGTTCTCCAGTGTGCTTCAAATTACCTTTAGTGACCAGAGCTGATCACTAGTGCCTCAAGAACCAGCAACACTCATATGATGGACAGGTGATTCATTAAACATGCGTATGTAAATGTAAGCACACTTCCATATTAACCATCATGCTTCTCCTGCCAACATCCAGTTCCTTTCTCAGCACCAATCATCTGGGAAATATGAAAAATGAATCCCTTTCATTTCATGCTTTACGTTGATAACGGGTTCAGGCTGATCAGCTTTAACATATTGGGATTACGGTGCTGGTTATCATAGCCTTTGGGTTTTTCATACCTCCCTGTCAAGATTATCCTTTTTCCCTTTCCTGATTACTTTATATCAATCTACACCTTAACTGCCTAATATTTTTTGTTTCTAAAGAAGGACCTGGAGTTACTGCATCTTCACTTGGTGTTTACTCTTTTCTTTGGTGTTTCCTCCAAATCAACATACTGACGCCCTTCTGCCATTGTCCCACTAGAAGAATTCACATTTCAACGGTTTCTATTACAGTTTAAGGAAGAACTTGCGATAACTGTGTGGTGCTTACAGGCAAAACTGGAAGAATTATTATTTGATATATATTTTTATATAAATGTATCTTCTATCCTATCTCATCTCATATGTATGTAAGTTTAAACAAGGCCAAGTCACTATTTAGCTGCCCACAGCATGCCTGCTTAAAACATAAGCACTAGGTCAGGTTCTTAGCTGATCTAAATGATTATCATTCTGGTGTCTTCCACTTTTTCTTGGAAAGGAAAGGTCTGCCCATTCCAGAAGCCTCATACTAGTTTCCCCTTTGATGCCCATTCCATAGGGGTTCCTATCCCTTCCCACCTAAAACATCTGTTGTGTCTACAGGCTGAAGGTATTGTTTCAAGACAAGACGGAATTAAAGGAGACGTGATAGCTGCCTGCAAGCGTGTAATTAATATAAACACTAACAAGAAGGACTTGTGGTTTGCTGCATATTATTAGCATTAACAACAAAGACAAACTTAAGTGAAGGACAACCTTTTCTGAATAACTGAGTATCTGGTGGAATCTGAGTTCGATATATTTAGTCTAGGAGAATATGTATGGTTTTAAAGGTGAGCTTGATTACCTATGGAACAATTTATCAAAGATCACTGTAGGTTCTTTATTGCTTGAGGTCTTTAAAACAAGACTGGAAAGTCTTCTCAAAGTCATGCTCTATCCAAGCATAACTGCTTCATACAAAAGGCAATTCATAGAAATCTACATTGGATATCTGTGAGAAGTGTGACCTGAAAGTCAGTGATGGTCCCATCTAGGTTCATGTCAGTGAATCTATCAGGTGAAAGGTCCCAAACCGGATTCAGTGCAATTAAAGATTTACACCAGCAGACCCTCTGGCCCGGGAGAGTGAGTGCAATAGGTCCAAACCCAAGATACAGTTAAGGTCTGTGGAAAGGTTCTCTTTGACATCAGAGTTTTGGATGAGGTCCTTAGAGGGTGGGAAAAGTGCAGTTAGTATGCAGTGACCAGGCTTATCACTTCCAGCAAGTATTAGGTGACACTGCCCTCAGACGGTCAAGACAGAGTAGGTAAACTCTTCCTAATTCTTAAAACAAACTTTAAGGCAGGTCTTAACAACTAGCTAAATACATTTCAAGCACTGTCAATAAATTCATAATTTCTCCATCACACTGGACTATTGAGGAAAATGGTTATTTCTTTCACCAAAGCGTCCAGTAACTTGGAGTACAAAGACTCCAGGTTATGAAACCTGTGGACTTACAACATGGGTCAAGGTAGGGAGTTAGAGAGACAGGCAGCCCTAACACTCTTCCAGCTTCTTTCTCTTTTTACTAAATTCAGACTAGCAGGGAGAACAATATGCACTACAGAATCAGACCTTCAACTGAAAAGCAGGAACAGAAAGGAAATTAAAAGGAAAAATACTCCTCCACATAAAACCTTTGTACCATAGCTAAATTTGTCTAGAAAGTTAACATTAGAGAAATTAAATGGGCACTATGAAGTCCTCCATTAGTTGGGAGAATATTATATTAACATCAGATATAAAATACAATTAGATTTTTATAGCATCTTTTATGCTAAAGGTATCAAAGTGCTCTGCACAGTTTGATATTGGGAGTGCAGTAATGGGTTATCACCAGAGCTCAGAGAGATCGAGGGGTGCCAGGCAAGCAGCCCGGGGCCCTTGGCGAAAACAGACAGGGCTGCAGGAGCACATCTAGGCTCCTTCTGTGGATATTGATATTTACAGGGTTTTCTGCAGAATCTGTGCTTTTTTTGTCATCCCAGAGATGGGGAAGTGGCCTGTCAGACCCAGCACAGGGCTATCTTCAGGGTCATCCTCGGCAGCAGCCGGCTCAGAGCCCAGTACCAGCAGGTTTGGGGGGGTGCTGGCACCGACGCTCCCTGACAGCGAGGGCAGCGCGGCCACCGCCAGCAGCTCGGCTGGCAGCCCTCCCAGCGGGAAGGCAGGACTTTCTCCCGCGCGGTTATATTTG